TTCCAAGTATGGGTCACCATACTTGGCCACATGTCACGTCACGTCCTTTCCTTTCCTTTTTTCCCTTTTTAAGCTAGATTCTCCTTGTTCTGTCCTTCCTGGAGGTGATAACATCTACAGCTCCTCATTGTCCTTGATCTTTTACCTCTGATGATCATCCATCCTGCAAGTATCGACCTTTCCCTCCATTTCTGTTCTTGCGCTTTTGAGGACCGGCCCATTTATTCAAGGGTCCACTTCCCAATAAACTGTCCAATCAATGGCTTATCATTCTCTTTTCCATTACTGCAGTGGGACAACCGGCTCATCCCTCCTTTTTTCTTTTTCAGTGGAGGGACATATATCTATTCTGCCTCCTGAATCTCTTTCAGGTGAGTGCCATCAAATCCCCAATTCCTCTCGTTCTTTGGCTTTCCCTGTCCTGCGAGGAATCGTCCCAATCGCCCCACAGCTTTCATTTTATACAGAGGGACGTCCCATACATCTCTCTTTTCTTCCTTGCCATCTATTCATTGCACAATCTCTTTGTCTCTACTGACCTCTGGTGATGACTCCCTCCAGACGCACAATGTTGGCGTGATCAAACTGTCCCAGAATTCCTGCCTCGCTGAGGAATGAGCGTCTCTGTTTTTCCGAGCAGCCTGCACGAAGGGTCTTTATGGCCACAGGCAACTCTCGTTTGCTGGGAAGCTTTAGGCAACCTCGACACACCTCGCCAAAGTCTCCTGAAGAAGGCAAGGGTTCACTTGATGTTTATTTGTTTCTCATAATGTAGCATAAATGAAAACATTGCCCGTCAATTAAAGGAACAGTTACCCAAAATTAAAATTATGACACCATTTACTTGCTCTCATGTTGTGAATAATGACTTAAATTACATATGGACCACCTTTATGATACCTTTATGGTACTTTTGCTTCCTGTTTTGAAGCTTGAAAGCTCCCGTCCTCATTCATTGCAATTTTATAGAAAAATTAGCAGAAAATTACTTTAGCATTAGATACATTTTGTACAATAACATTAGCTGTAAATTTAGTTTCAAAATAATGAGTCATATGGGGTTTGGACACAACATGAGGATCAGTAAATGATGACAGAACCTTTATTTTTGAGAAAACGTGATGCCTAGTTTGCATAGACACTATTATGGTGCTTTTGCTTCTTTTTAAAAATTGAAAGCCCCTGTCCTCATTCATTGGAATTTTATGGACAAAGATTATTAGTAAACATACTTTGTGTTCCAAAGAAGAAATGGATTTGAACACAACATGAGGGTCAGTAAATGATGACAAAGCCTTAATTTCTGATATAAACTAATGACTGGTTTTCATAGGATCTTGACACACAATGCTGAAAAACCTTAAAAGTGTCCCAAAAAGAAAATACATTTGCAGGAATATGAATTGGATAATGGTAAAAGTCAGAGTGAAGTAGGGAGGTTTTGATGTTTGGTACCTGTATGGACTATCCTCTCGATCTTGATACTAGATATGTCCAGCTCTTTGGCAAAGGCATGAACAGTCTGGAGCAGATCTTCACATGTTTCTGGGTCAATGTAGGTCCTTCGGGTTGGGATTTTAACTGAAAAATTAAAACAAAAATATATATAATTGGTGGTACTACACTCAGTATTAATATTGATTGATTCACTGTTATTATCAATGAAATAGGTGACAAACTCCAATAGACTTACAATGAGCCACCTCTAAGTATCAGAATATCATATGCTCTGTTCATACATTTTGGTTTTCAAAGCTTGACTCTCCTCACTGTTATTTTGCATGTGATGAAATCTGATCTGATTGTCTCATACGACATGATAGTAGCTGTCAGTGTGGAAATTTTGCCTCTGCTCATGTCCATCACACCATCTCAAAACATGCATGAAAGAACATAGACGACAAGAGGCATTTTAAGCATTCATGCATATACTGTGTCTAAATGTGCTGATGCATTAACTCATTCACTACTCACAACACGGCGAATATCACATAGGTTGCTATTTTAGGAAATGTGGGTAGGCCAGTGAGTAATCACCTTAGCAACCAAAAAGCAACCCCCTGGCAACCAGCTAGAACACATCATGGCATTGAGTTTTGGACAAGCATGAGAAAATGTAACTGAACATGTACTATCTAGTTATATAATACAGTAACATAGTGTTTATAGTGCAGTATACTTATACATGTTGCTAATGAAGATTTATTAATTTTAAATTTATATTTAAAATGAAAATCCACAAAAAGATCACCAGATATAAAAATTAAAAATACTGTTTTATTATTTTGATGCTGTATTCTTTTACTGTAGCCTTGCATTATGTCATGCTTCATCTACTCAAAGGCAGTGCGGCAGTCTAACTCTGAAATGTGCTTACAAGTCAGCATCGACCCAAAGCAGACCAGGGTCTCAACTTCACAGTCTCATAACAGCTTATTGATCTGAAGCTCACATACATACACCCATACTTAAGAATACAATTACAAAGCAAATTAAAGGTGCTCCATTCCATCATGAGAGTGCGGCTCAGGATCGAAAGCCTCTTCCACAGGACTGAGGTTTTTTAGCACATGTCGCATTCACATGTGAGGCTGTTATTACAGTGATTTAGGGGTCCAGTTCAGTTTACTTACTATTAGTTTCTGTTTGGGTTTGTTTTTATCAAAAGATCTGATTCAGCCAAAGAAGCTTTCATACATTCACACCAAGGTTATAGTTACATAATATATATGTGTTCTCTAAAAC